AAGGCTAACGGCAAGGAGAAGAAAAAGGGACCGAAGCAATCTGTGGCAGAGGGAGAGGTAGATCGGAAGGAGGCGGCGAAGGACACGAGTTTGCGCGGGAAGCTCGGCACCGCGGAAGGGAAGATGGAGATGGCGGGGCAGAAAGATGGGTGTGGGTCACCTCCAGAGAAGAGTGCTTGCGGGAAGGATGAGGCGGGCGAGATGAAGACGGCTACAGAGGTGGAAAACAATAAGGAGTCGAGCGGGTGTGAGGTGGCATTTGACGGGCGTGACACGCCTGCTGAAGGGGCGGACGGCCCGTGGGCAATGGTTCCCGCCAGAAAGGGAGTGGACGGAGGCACAGTGGAGATGCATGTGGATACTTCGGTACCTATGGCTGGTGGCGTGTCCCCCCCTCGGACCACGGAAGCAGGAAAAGGCAATGACATGCCTGCAGTGCAACCTTGGGGCTCCGCGGATGGCGCGGATGATGCGCCAGACGGTGGCGGCGAGGGCAAGAAGGCGGCTCATCAGCGCGGTGCTGTATTGAAGCCGAGGACGCCAACCCCTAAGAATCGCGGAGGCCTCTGCCCCAAGAAAGAGCACAAGGAGGAGGTATCTGACGACGATTCCGATGAGGAGAGCACGGAGTCCGGCAGCAGTTCCGGCAGCGAGGAGAACTATGATGACGAGGAGTGTGAGAGCGAGTCCGCAGACTTGGAGAGAAAATCCTGCGATGACAGCCATGGTAAACGTCATCAAGGGAGGCGCGGCGGCTCTCGACGTCGCAGGCGCGGTAAGACCAGCGGACGTGGCAACCACGGGTGGGAGAAGAAGCGGCAGCGAGGGGGGTTAGAGGACCGACGCCGCACCAACAGCTCCAAGGATCGGGCATCCAGGGGCAAGCAAAAGGGATGGAAGTCGAAGGATGATGACGACGCCTACGGGAATGAGCAAAGCGACTCAGAGAGTGAGTCCGCGGGGGAGCTCGAGCCCTGCCACAAGAAGCGTCAACGCGGCGGCGACCGGAGCAACGTGTACGCAAAGGCGGCCTCATCCAGTGATGAGGAGGAGGTGGTTGCCCAGTGGAAGCCTAACAAGAGCGGAAAGGATGTACTGGACAAGTACCCGAGGGGATCCAAGAAGGCGGACTCAGGTTACGGAGGGGAGGACAACGATGAGGAGGCGTCGGAGAAGAACCCACCCAGGGTTCGCGAAGCTGCGAACGAGCGTCGCCCGTGGCGTGGCGAGAACAATGCTCAGAGTGGCAGCGAGTTGCGTATCAGTGTGGCGGACACACGTGGGCGCGCGGCGGGTCATGCTGGATTGGAACGCCGGAAGCAGCAAAGTGATGATGGCCGTGCTGCTGGTGGGATGTGGGCATGCGCCACGGGGGAGTATGGGCCTGAGGGGAACCATCAGACACATCAGCATGCCACTACAGATTCTCGGCGCAAACGCGCTGCGGCCGAGTATGAAGGCGTTGGCGGGCATGACGGGAAGCGTCGGCGGCCTGAGGGTGAGGACTCCAAGGGGGGGCGCTTCTCCTGGGAAGACATTGCGGATGCGGAAGAGATGCCGACCTACGTGACACCACAACTGCTGTGGCGGGCGTTGAGGGAGGCCATAGGGAAGATCCAGGAGTTTAAGGGAGAGCGGGATCGAGGCCTTCCGCGACTCGCTTCCGCATCCAGCGGCCCCGATACCGGCACGGATCTGGTGGGCGAGAGCACGGGGATGGCAGTGGTGCAACGGAAGAAGGGCATGCCCTCGCTGAAGAAGATTGGGGTGAGTCATCAATGAATCGCTCTTCCTTGCAAGGCAAGACTTGCATGTCGACTTGGTGTCCATTGCTTGTACGTGCCCCACTTACAACCGCTCGGCTGGCCTGACAGAATCTGGTGACAATTTCCTTTGCGTTGGATCTCGTCATCCTCAGGCACGTGCGACCCTCTCCCTCCTGCCCTTGTCCACAGGTTCTCTCCATCCAGCGCATGGCCCCAAGTTCTCCTCCTCGTGAGCTTGCCCTGTATGTCCTTTCCCCCCTTACCCTCTCCCCCCTGCCCCCGCCCACAGGTTCTCTCCCTCCTGCCCTTACCGTGAGATATCTCCCTCATGGGAATGCCATGTATGCTCTTGGCCACCGACCCTCTCCCCCCTGCTGTTGCCCACAGGTTCTCTGTCTCACCCCCATTCTGCCCACAGGTTCTCCCCCTGATGTCGATGCCCTCATTGCCTTTGCCTGCCTACCCTGTCCATCCTGCCCTTGCCCACAGATCACTCACATGCCATTGGCCGGTGGTTGTCCACCTCATGACCTTGCCCTGTGTGCCCTTGCCCGCCCACCCTCTCCTTCCTGCCCTTACAGACAGGTTCTCTCCCTCTTGCCCTTCTCCACATGTTCTCTCCCTCCTGCCCTCTGTCCGCAGGTTTGCTCGCTCATGTCGTTACCCTGGATGCCCCTGCCAGCCTACCCTGTTCCTCGTGCCCCTATCCACACGTTCTCTCCATCCTTTCATTGACCTCGAGATCTCTCCCTCATGTCGCTGCCCTTGCCCGCCTACTCTCTCCCTCCTGCCCCTTCCCACAGGTTCTCTGCCTCTGGCAACAAGGAGTACTTCTCCCCCCATCCTTTGCATGTTTGTTCCCCTCCCTCCCACCCATACCCACAGCTTCTCTCATTCCTGGTGTGGCACACAAGTTCTCTCCACATCTCACCTGCTTTTTGGCATCTGCTTTGCTGCCATTTCCCCTCCGTCTCCCCATGCCTCTGGTTGTCTGTCCCCGCCCTCTCTCCCCCCCATTCCCCCCCCCCCCCCCGACGCCCATCCGTCCACAGATCCATTACGAAACCTCGCGCGACCGGATGTGCATCGATGCGCCTGATGCGGGCATTGACTTCTACACGACCTTCTACCTCCGCATGGTGGACCTTCACACGGTTTTGGTGATGGAGGGCTACGAGGTGTCTTTCGTGGCTGTTCAGGAGGCAATGACCGACAACAACTACAACGATAAGTTCAAGCGTGTATGGACGCAGTGGAAGAACGAGCGGGGGTTCCTGATCAAGAGGCGGGTGTTGACGGAGCTAGGGGTGAAGGTCAAGTGGGCGAGGGGCTCCAAGATCCATGTGGACCTTGATGACAAGATGGCCCTCTGGCATGACTTCAAGCCTCGTAAGTACTCATGTAGCTGCGCGGTCACAGTTGTTTAGTAGGGCGCATGTCATTGAAGTTAATACCTCGTGTTCACTCCCCATATCCTCACACCATTTGAGCATCATGCACCTCCATCTGTGCTGCCGTTACCCCCAACAGGAAGGAGGTTTGGGCAGTTGGTGAGCACCTGGGGCTCGGCGAAGCCACCCCCAGGGGTGCACTCCGGGCAGCCTTTTGCCAACAAGATCTTCTTTCAGGCGGCGTTCGATGCGTTTCAGCAGTGGGCTGTGGCGGGGAAGCTCTGTCTGAAGGCGTATCACATTGCCTGGATTATCATGGTGGTAAGTGGCGGGGAGCGCGCCTTAAAGGACGCCGTGGCTTGGGCTCTAGTATCCTCCCGATTGTGCTCGGCTCATGCAACCCCATTCCCCTCCCCCACCTCCCTGACCCTTCTACAAACCCCCTCGGCCACCCTCTTCCCCAGGTCGACTATGGGCTGACCCGCCGCAGGCACACCACGATGGGCCTCTCTAACTCACACCCCAAGAACAAGGCCTGGATAACGGACCTTCACAAGAGGGTGCGACAGGTGGTCATTGACCACTTCAGCAACTACCCCAAGGAGTACAGCAAGGACATGCGGGGGTGGAAATGGGGACCAGTGGCAGGAACCAGGGAGGGAGGGCAAGGGGAAGGCGCCCAAAGGTGGAGAGGGAGAGGCTAAGGATTAAGGGTCCTTTTGCAGGGGTGAGGCAGGTATGTGCAGGGGTGGCATCACCACAGCGTTCAGGGCAGGGGACGGATACAACTGGGACGGAAGTGGAGCCAAGTATTGGCGTGGGCTCTGGAGGAAGGGTCTGTCAGCATCATTCTGAAGGGGCAGCCATCCCACAATGGGAGGGGCTTATTGCAAGCGCCAGTACTGGCGTGTGCTGGGTTCATAACCATGGGGTGTTTGCAGATGCATGATGTGGCAGCGTCGTTTGAGGGGTGGGGTGCTGGCAGCGAAATGATGTGTAACAGGTGGGCTGGGCGGGTGGTGTGCGGGGCTTTCAGGACCAGCAGGTTGGGGTGGGGGCGCTCGAGGGCGGGTTCCTTTTGAGGGATGTGAGTGGCCTTGACATTTGGGTATCACACTATAGTGGGTATTGATAAAGCCGCTTACAACAGCGGCAAGAACTGGAAGTTGTGGTTGGGAGCATTTGTGATATGAGGCACCGGCAGCAGCGCATGAGTGGGTTCGGCATCAGGCTGTGGTGGGGGGGGGGGGAGTTAAAGGGTTGAGGCAACAGCGGGCGCGAGGAATGGATATGAGCATCAGCTTGGGGAGGGGGGGGATAGGGGACTGGGGGATGAGGCACAGGTGGCAGCAGCAAGGGAGGGGTCTCAGCAGCAGCCTGTGGTGGGGGGAGAGGGGATTCGGGGAATGAGGCACAGGTGGCAGCAGCAAGGCAGGGGTCTCAGCCGCAGCCTAGGGTGGGGGGAGGGATTCGGGGAATGAGGCACAGGTGGCAGCAGCAAGCGAGGGGTCTCAGCAGCAGCTTCGGGTGGGGGGAGAGGGGATTTGGGGAATGAGGCACAGGTGGCAGCAGCAAGGCAGGGGTCTCAGCATCAGCCTTGGGGGGGAGGGGGGAGAGGGGATATGGAGAATGAGGCACAGGTGGCAGCAGCGAGGGAGGGGTCTCAGCAGCAGCCTGTGGTGTGGGGGGGGGGGGGGGGGGGGGGGGGGAGGGGGGGTTGTGGGATGAACGAACCACAAGCAGCAGCAGGGCCAGACTCATACCTTGGTGGTTAGCAAGGTTTATCACGGCTGCAGCGGCAGCGGTGGGAGTAGGTGGGGGCTTGCAGCAGCAGTATGTGCTCTCTCAACGAGGAAGGAGGGGGTTGATGCCATCGTACGGGTCGTTTCCGATTTACTTCCAGGGTAGTGCTCCTTTTGTCCGGATGCGGTTGGTAGGGCGATCACAGCTTGGATGCGGGTAGAGGTCTAAACCCTGAGATTTTGTGTCATTGATGTGTTTTCTTGTGACACTGATGTGTTTCTTCTATTGGCCATCTATACCAATTAATGAGCCTAATATCTGTGGCAATGGAGTACTAGCGGATCTGGCAATAACGGATATAGAATGTACCAAAAAAAGGACAACAACACGCCTCAAACACAATGAAGAGATGTAAGCGTGACGCGTACAAACTTGTAATGGTCTTCGTGCACTGTACAAAAGTTCTCTTCCAGCATGACCGCATGGTGACGTGGAGGTGTTATCGCGTACGACCAAATAACATCAGCGCGGTGTCGGCAAACCATCTGCGTGGCGTTTGACAAACCATTTGAGTGGTGTTTGACAAACCATCTGCGAGGTCTTTCCAACTTACACCGCGAAGTGTTTGGACCCACCAATTTGGAAACCACCTGAAAGGTGTTCGCAACAACACTGCGCAAATGAGTTTCAGACACTGAATTTTTGCGATGCCCCCGTGTCCTCTCCGCGTCCGCCTCGTGTCCTCTCCGCGTCCGCCTCGTGTCCTCTCCGCGTCCGCCTCGTGTCCTCTCCGCGTCCCCCTCGCATCCTCTCCCCTCCGCACTCGCCTCCTCTCCTCTCTGTTCCCGTCGCATCCTCTCACAGCCGCCCTTCCCTCCGTCCGGCACTCGTCGTTTCCTTCTCTCTCGCTTTCGACCTCGCGTTCTCTCTCACTCGCCCTTGCCTCCTTCCCCATTCGCCATCGCCTCCTAACCCCTTGAATCCTCTAGTGCACCCTAACCAGCACGGGGGCGCGTCTGTGTGAGGGGAAGCTAGGTAGCGCAATGCTTCCCAGTCAGGCGTTGCTGTAAGTGGTGTATGTTTTGGAGTAGGGGTTGGATACACAACGTTAGGGCGTGTTTTTGCGCGTCTCATTTCGTTGTTTCTTGTCAAGTTTTCATGCCAGGGACACATTGCCCCTGGTGTTTTTGGAGAGTGGTACGTAGTGAGTTTCCCACCAGAGCTAGTTCGCCCTCACAAACACGCCCGAGGTCATTGGGGGTTGGTTTGTCGCCCAAACCAAACCTGCGACCCTCGTCGATTTTGACGAGGTGTCACTTTGGTTCGTGCGTTGGTTGCAGCCAATCTAATCGTTTTTTCTCGTTTCGTTCAATTCGTCAATTTCGTCCAGCATACCCTAAGCTTTTGGTTGGGGGGGTTTTGGTTGGTGCGACATCCCCACCCCACCCCACCTTGCTGTCACATCTCAGTGCACATCCCATCCCTCCACAACCACTCACAGGTGTCGTTTTTCACTCGCTGAACCCTGCCATCCCTAACCACTTACCTCTCCCTCTCGTCCTGCTAAGTCTACTCGCTCCCACCCGTCTTATCTCTCCTCTCTGACCGCCTTGCGTCCCACGTTTCCCGCTGACCGCCTGTCGTCTGTTGACTGTAGCTGCGGTCGCCCGTCGCACCGTTGGCGAGAGCATGCGACCGCCGCTTAACGCGCCCCTGCCCCTGGCGGGTAAGGACCCGTCCCCAGCCCCGCCAGCATTTTTGCCTCTCCCCTCCTCCGCCTTCCCCACCGGGTCCCGCGAGCGGCTGCGCGCATTGCTTGCGGAGGCCACGGCAAATGCGCCACCCTCGTCCGCCAACCCCTGTGCTGCCGATGGCGCGTCTGCGCTCGCCGCGTGCTCGTCGCTGGGCCGAGGATCCGCCGGGCTGAGCAGCGAGGCAGAATGCAGCGCAGCGGACGACGTGGCGTGCACTGCGGGTGAGGTGTGGGAGAGGGGGGAGAGGGGGGAGAGCGAAGAAGTGGCGATAGCGGATGGCGAGGGGCGGAGAGCGGGCGAAGAAGCAGGCGGCGAGGAGGACGTGGCGTCGGGGTGGGGTGCGAGCGGGGATGGCGCCCAGCCGCAACCGCATGCGGGGCGCCTCGTACCGCCGCAAGTGGCAGGCAGCGGGCAGCCATGCGACGCCGCCATCGCCGCCGCCAACCCCTTCGCGCGCCCTCCAGCGCCGCCGCGGATGCCCGTGGTGCCGCCCGCGGCGTGCGCCAGACGCCGGCCCCCCAGCGGGTCTAAGAGCTTCGCACAGCGACTGGCGGCACGCGCCGCTGCTGCCGGCGATGGGGTTGCGGGAGGCACGGAAGGGGGCAGCGCGCGCGGCATGGCAAGCGTCCCCGCGCGGCTGGTGACGGGCGCGAGCGCGTCGGGACCCGTGTGCTTCCTCATCGCGGGGGGGCTGAGCCCCGCCGCGCTGCTGGACTCGCCCGTGGTGGCGCACAGCCAGGTGAGGGGGGCGAGGGGGAAAGGGGATGGGGGGGAGAATGATGGGCGTATGCTGAGGGGGGTAGCATGCATAGGGCGAAAGAGAGCTTGTGTGTGTGTGTGCGGGCGGGCGTGCGGGCGGGCGTGCATGTGTGCGTGCCTGTGTGCATGCCTGTGTGCGTGCGTGCATGTGCGAGGTTAACTCTCGACGATGACTCCCCTTTCTCGTTGCCTGGTCGCTCTCTGCTCTGCCTCCTCACATCCCCCGCATCTCACCACACCACCCTCCTCCATCCCCACTCCTCACCGCTGCCCTTGCTCTCCCCCCGGCCCCCCTCCCATCGCCCCGTGGATCCCCGTATCCCCTTTCACCTCTCTGTCCCCCCCCCGCATTCCCAGCCCTCCGCCAGCACACCGCTCCTGCCGCAGGGGGGCTTGGAGGGGGCAGCGGGAGGACGGGGGGGGGTGCAGGGGAGCATTGGCAGAGCGGAGGAGGAGGTGGAGGAGGAGGAAGAGGAGGAGGGGGAGGAAGAGGAGGGGGAGCATGGGGGGCGGAGGAAGCGACAGCGGACGGAGGGCGGGGATGAGGGGGGGTTGATGCGGAGTGAGAGGGTGAGAGGGAGGGGCGGGGGGGTGGGGCAGGCGGATGGCAGCGTGGGTGGCGGGGGACAGGGGGGGGGGTGAGGGCAGTGTTGGCGCTGGGGCTAGGCGGGGGTGGGGAGGGAAGCGGGGAGATGGGGGAGGAGGGGCGAGTGGATGCGGGGCGAGCAAGGGGAGGAATGTGGGGGGGGGAAGCAGTGGGGGCTGGCGTGGTATCGCTGGCGGGGGCAGGCCCGCAGCACACGGCGCTCACCGCCATGCAGCGCCACACCCATGCTGCGTGCATGCTGCCCTGCTCCACTGCTCCGCCCTCTGATAATGGCGGCAGCGCCATGGGGGGGGGACATGGCCACGGCCATGGGCAAGAGGGCGCGACAGGGGGGGTGGCAGGGGGCGACGTGGCAGTCCAGGAGTGCACATATGGTGAGACACACACAGAGGCGCTCTCAGGAGCAGCGGTAGGAGGCGAGGACTTGCAGCGACAGAGTGGGGAGCAGTGGGCGGGCGACAGGGATTGGCAGCAGCAGCGTGGAGGGGTGGCGGGCAGCGACATGCATGTCTGGTGGCAGCGCTGCAGCGCGGAGGGAGAGCAGGGTGAACGGGTGCTGGATGGGCATGAGCATGGGGAGGATGCGGCACAATGGGAAGCAGAGGGCGAGGAGGAGGGCGGTGGGGGAGGGGATATGGAAAGGGACGGGGAAAGGGATGGAGGGGGGGATGCAGAGGCCATGGGTGCAGCAGCAGCGGCAGGAGCAGCAGCAGGCTGGGCAGGGGACGGGTACAACTGGCGAAAGTACGGACAGAAGGTGGTGCGCGGCGAGGTGAACCCGCGGAGCTACTACCGCTGCACGGCGCCCGGCTGCCCTGCCAAGAAGCAGGTGGGCGTGGGAGCGCGCGGACAGCTGCTGGACTGCCACTACCATGGCCGCCACTGCCATGCCCCGCCGCCGCCCCCCGCCCGCCCCCTCGCCGTGCCCTCTGCCGCTGGCAGCGCTGGCAGCATGGACGTGGGCGCGAATGCAGACTCCAGCAGTGGCGGTTGCGTGAGGAGGGAGGGGGAGCACAGTGATGGCCGTGGTGGCCTGGCGCACAGGGGGGGAGGGGTGGAGGGCGTGGGGCAGGGCAGGGACGAGGAGGTGAGGAAGGGAGAGGAGTGTGAGGGGGGGAGAGAGGCAAACGGGTGGGAGAAGGAAGGGAGGGGCGGCAACAGTGAGGATGCGTCGCGGTCTCGGAGCAGCTTTGAGGGCGGCGAGGGCGAGGGGGGGAGTGCGGGCAGGAAGGCGGAGGGCGAGGCGAGCAGCAAAGAGCAGCGCAAGAGGTGCGCCGTGCAAGGACTGTCTCTCTGCTCTTTCCCTTTCACTGTGCGAGAGCCGTTGGCCGCTCGTTTGTTGCTCTGTCCTGGTGTGAATCAGCAACGTGCAGCTTACAGCATTGAGGTAGCGAGAGTTAGGGGCAGATAGTATACCCCAGGAGTGTGAGCCAGCGAATGCGGAGGAGCAGCCCGTGGCAGCGCAAGCGGAAAAGGCAGGTCGCCCTTGGAGGTGAGAGGTGAAAACTATAGAGGGGCGTGTGGTTAGAAGGACGGAAAGGGATTCCAAGCTGTCTTGCACGTGATGCGCGGGGCATTAGTGTGGAAACGCAAAAGGGCCGAGATGGAGCATGGGTGCGTGCTGGCAGAGGGGCGCGCCACTTCCTGCTTTCACTGCCTGGGCTGTGGGCCGCCACAGCAACAATGCCCGCCTGCCACGTCACCCAGCAGCAGGACGATCTGCGTCTTGCGGTGGACGCTTTGCTTCACGGCCCCTTCATTGAGCCTAGGGCAGGGTAGCGTGGTAGACGCACAGAGCAGGTGAGGGACAATGCAACGGGATAAGAAAAAGTAGGGCCGGGTGAAATCAGGTGAGAAGGTACCCTTGGGCAGCATAAGCAGGTCTCTCAGGGGATGAGGACACAGCAGAAGCAAGTGAGGGGGGGGTGCGGCAGTGGGTGGCATTGGGAGGGAGGGTGTAGCGGAGGATGCGCGTGTGGCGTGGGAGCCTGGTGTGGGATCCTTGCTTGCTGCGCAAGTCCGTCTCGTGGGCTGTGCCATTACTCGACACACTGCATCCTCCACCTTGTGTCTCCACCAACCCCCTCCTCTTCCTACCTACTTCACCACTCCCCGCTCGTTTGCCCTCCAACCACTCGCTTTGCAATCTGCACCGCAATTTCCCCAAGCGTGTTTGTGTCCCCCATGCCCTCCCCAGGCGGCCGGAGCCGTTCTGCGGGCAGCGCGTGCAGCGCGGGCCCAAGGTGGTGGTGCGCGCGGTGAGCGCGGTGGACCTGCTGGACGATGGGTACCGCTGGCGCAAGTACGGCCAGAAGCTTGTGCATGGCAGACGCTTCCCCAGGTGGGGCCACGGGCGTGGGGAGAGGGGCACGTGGTGCAGCGAGGAGGGAAGGGGCTGGGGAAAGGTTGCAGTCGAGAGGGAGCTCTGGATAGACAGCGAACCTTCTTGCTCAGTGCCTTCCTCTCACCCTTATCACACACTTCTCGGCAGCGGTGTCCCTGGGGTATTGGGTTTGATCTTCTTGGCTCATTCCCTTTCTCTGACTCCTTTTCCCGCCCTCCCTTCTCTTCCGTATATTGATGCAACCTGGATACAAGGTAGTCAAGGTACGGTACGTGGTACAATCGGTACAGCAAGCAAGTTCTCTCTCTCTCTCTCTCTCTCTCTCTCTCTCTCTCTCTCTCAAGCGGTCCTTGTATTGATTGAGAACGTTGTACATACTAAACATGTGGGCGAATTTCAAACCTATCAAAGGTACGTGTATGCTGGGGATGGGCAGCCGGACTACTGGAGCTCCCCGAGGGGCTCCGCTATGGCAAAACAGTCCCCTAGGCCCATGATGGCGTCAGGGGTACCCACGGGGGGGTACTCTGCCGGGGCAGCCTCGTTGACCTTTCCGAGGTAGGCCAGGGCCTGTGCCCGCTGGAGCGTGACGGACCAGCGCTGGCGGAACTGATGCAGCAGCTTCGCCGCCTGGTAGGAGCTCGGGTCCGCGTTGAAAAGCCGCCTTGCCCCTGTGTCCGCCAGGAGCTTCAGAAAGCCGGGAACCTCGGCGCAGGGACAGCCATAGGTCTCCACAGCCAGGGGGAAGAAACCAACATAAGGTGCGCGGTTACGGTAGTGATCAATCTTCTTATCGGCCTGCTCCCGGGCCATATATCCCCGCCCCTTGCGTGCGTGCGGGTCCCGGGTGCTGATGGGGTCCGTGACAGTGACGTCACAGATCCAGACGGCACCGGAGTCTCTGTCGCGCATGGCTAGGTCGGCCTTATGACCGTCCACCGGGCTGTAGGTAGTGGTCTCCTTGGTAACGATGAACCCGGCATCTCGCGCCATACGGATGCACTCGTCGCGGAGTGCATTGTGGGTGTCTGTCCGGCCATGCCCCGTGCCGCAGCGGAAGAGGTGGTTGGGCAGCCGGGGGTCAAGGATCTCAGTCTCGTCTGCGCAGTTGCAGTTGCGTGGGGCTGGGAAAGGGAGGCCGAGGCGGAAGGCGAGGGCGGTGGCAAAGTGCGGTGGTCCGAGGCGGAGGGAGGGGAAGATGGGGATGGCATGGATCCAATCCCCTGCCTTGTAGCCTGCCAGGGAGAACAGACGCTGTGTGTGGCCGGAGCTGGGGTTCAGCTCCATCCCGCGTGACGCTGCCACCTGGTCCGCATATCGGGCGGCTTGGACTTCGAGGGAGAGCCGGTGCTGGAATGGGGTTCCAGATGGTTCCTGGCGTTCGGAGCGCAGGAGCTCTAGCGCACGGGTCGGCATGGCTGCCTCACACCCTGCCAGCCAGGTATGGAGATGGTTGGGGCTGGAGAAGGGGGGTGTGAGGGGGCGCAGTGCGGACGCCAGGGGCCCGTCGGCTGCTGCTGGCAAGGCGGCGAGGAGGTGCTGCGCCTGGGTGACGCTGGTCAGGAAGGCTGGGGGGCCTTCAATGGCGGGATCGGAGAGGCCCAGCCCGCCGAGCGAGGGCGGAAGTGAGGCCTGGGCCCAGGTGCGCGCGCATTCGGCTTCCCCTCGAGGAAGTTGGAGGTTGCACGCGCGGAGGAGGGTGTGGAAAAGCCCCCGTCCCCACTCCGACCACTCGGGTTGTGGGAGGAAATCCAGGGGCGTGGTGCGGGTCAGGTAACTGACCCCCCGCGAGATGCAGCGCGTGAGGAGGAGCGACGCCGTTTGGGGGTCCATGGAGGCGATGGTGGGGAGTGGTTCGGCCAGCGAGACCAGCTGGGAGCGGAGGAAACCAGCTGAGCCCTCCGCCGTCCCGACAAAACTCCCCAGCACCCGTAGCCCCTCGCTGTGGAAAGGGACGTCCGGGGGAAGGGCGTCGGGTGGGGGAGGGGTGGGGGACCACGCTCCACATTTCGAGGGGTTGTGCGTAAGGCCAATGGCCCCCACGGCGCCCGTGAAATGGTGGAAGGCCGCTGTGCAAGCGGCTGGTTCTCCCACGAACGTCACGTCGTCCGCGTAGGCTAGACAGAGGACGTCGGGGTGGGCGACAGCTGTTGATTGAAGCGCGGGGTGGATGGCTGCAGCAAAGAGCAGGGGGCCCATGGGGTCCCCTTGTCGGACGCCCCGTGCACTCTGGAGTGGGGGGCTGGCGAACTTGTCGTCAAGGTACAGGAGTGAGGGGGAGCCGTATGAAAAACGGATAAACGGTAACAGCGAACGAAGGGGCGAGGCGTCGATAGCGGTGATGATCGCCCCTCGCTCAACGCTGTTAAACGCGTTAGTGAGGTCCACTTGGACGATCACGAAGCCGGGACGTGCGGATGTGAATGCCCGGGTGGCGTGGATGATTGCTTCCCCGCCGCTCCGAATTGCGACGCCGAACTGATGAGGCAGAAAGTATTCTTGTGTGGGCTGAGTTGTCGAGATGAGGGCTGCTTTGGCGGTAAGGCGATGGAGACATTCGCCTATGGCGATGGGGCGTGTTCCGCCATCAGGTTTGCGAAGGGCCAGCAGACGTGACGCGGTTAACAGCTCGCTGACCTCCTGGGGCAGGTTACCGGCGAGGAGCAGCTGCACTATTTCGTGTAGGAGCTTAGCAACGTGTGGATTGGTGAGCGAGGCGTCCCGCAGGTGTTCGAATGTCATCCCCGAAGGACCGGCGCCCACCCCATTTTCGCTACGCGAAAGTAGGCGAATGAAATGGGCGAAGTCGAGCGCCGGTGGGTTGACGTCGTCCAGGGAGGGCCACGTGAGGTCCTCGGTCAACGGCCTTGGGTGTTTAGACTTCAGCGAGTCAAGAACCTCCGGGGTTGACTCGCTGACTGGGGTTGACTGGAGTGCCAGCAGGGCTCGGCGAAGGCTGCCTCGTCGCACCAGCCCCTCAGCTCGGGAGATTTTCCCGAGGTCGTCACGAACGTGGCGAGGGGGTGCAGGCAGTGCGACAGCAGCAGCTGCTGACTGGTAGAGGGCGTCCCACTGGCCCGCGAGGAACTGCTGCAGACGAATCTCCATCGCTGGCCAGTCCGGGCGTTTGGGCGATGACATGCGAAGAGTTAGGCGGGGGAGAAATAGTAACAACCGCCAGCCCCCGATTGAGGTTGGATTTTTCGCGAGAAAAAGGAGGGGCGTCAGCAGGGCTAACGCGAACAGCTGGCGAATAGTGGGGGGTAGTCGCCTTGAAAGAGGGGGCTGGCGAC